GTTGGATAGCAGAATGCGGCCAGTGCAAACAATAAGAGAGTAGGTAGCCAAGAATCAACAGGAGATAGAAAGCAGAGATGGGAAGGGCATTTTAAAGTTTTGCTTTCATAACAGTTTCTCTTATTTTTCTGTTTTTCCAGCTGCCAAACAAAATAGAAGTCATTATGCCAGGGTCGCCATGGAGAGGTTTGACTCTCAATTAAATCAGTTCAGTATAGCAGAACACTGGGGAGTATCTAGGAAGTGCTAGCATGCTGCAGCAGTTAAAACCTCACCTCTTGGTAGAGCTGCGCCACCTGGGTTCAAGTTCCAGCTTCACTACTTATTGGCCGGGTGTCCTTGGGCAAAGTACTTACACTCTCTGTTCCTTATTTTACTCATGAGTAAAGTGCAGATCACATGAAGCTGTTGTCAAGATTAATGAGATCGTTGTGAAAAGTGTGATCAGTTATTGTTATGAGGCAAACATTGCGCATGACATTGAGGGTGCTAGTGGGAAAATAGATCCTGAGACAGACAATTTCTATGCAGTGTTTTTTAAAATGTCCAGGTGAGAGTTGTCTTTTTTTTTTTTTTTGAGACAGGGTCTCACTCTGTCACCCAGGTTGGAATGCAGTGGTGCCATCTCAGCTCTCTGCAACCTCTGCCTCCTGGGTTCAAGCAATTCTTCCACCTCAGCCTCCTGAGTAGCTGTGATTATAGGCATGCACCATGATGCCCAGCTAATTTTTGTATTTTTGGTAGAAAGGGCGTTTCACCATGTTGGCCAGGCTGGTCTCGAACTCCTTACTTCAAGTGATTCACCCACCTTGGCCTCCTAAAGTGCTGGGACTACAGGCATGAACCACTGTGCATGGCTCAGGGTTGTCTTTTGAATCACTTCTTCATTTTGGACTGGAGTTACAGAAGGCAGTCATGAGTTCTAAAATCAAGATGCCCACAAAAAAACTCACATTACATGTATTTTGTAACCAACTGAATGGCATTGGTGAGACTTCTGTATAGAACTGGAGAATAAGCCGAGTCAAGATAACCTAGCTCTTCATAGACTGGTAGAAGAGTAATGTAAGTATATTAGCAAAAGTGCCAGTCATGATGATTTCTATATTACTTTAGAGTAACTGAGAGAAGGGGAGTCACCAAGAGTCTTAACATGTGCCAAGCACTCTTTAAATCTGCTTTAAAGAAGTTTACCTCCCTTAACTCATTGAAGGCTCCAATAAGCCTACATTTTATAGATAAGGGCACTGAGGCTCAAAAAGGGAAAATAATTTGCCCAAGGTCATACAGCTGCCACGTGGTACAGCAAGAAAGCAAAAGATCCGTTCTAATAAGAAAAAATCAAAGTCAGCAGTATTCCAAAGCCAAAATCAAAAGAAAGAGAAGCTGTGGTTAATAGTGTTCAGATTCCCCCAGCTTTCTAAGGTCAAAATTATAGGCCCTCTTCTTTGATACAGGCTAAGCGCTGACAGTTTTTTTCTTGATTATTTGCATCAGAGGAAGTTCAGAAGTCGAACATTGCTTTATGACAAATTCAGTATTTTTTTTAAATCTTAAGAAGAAATGATTTATCAATTCATGGAGACACCCCTCCTCCAATAGATCTTTAATTAAAAATAAAAACAGATGCATTGCATTCTGAAATGTACCGGATTTTGTCCTGTCATGGATTAGATTTACCATGTTTTTTAATGCTGAAAGCTTTCTCAGGCAGCAGAACTCTTACAGTAGGTTTACTGAGAGAGCTGTTCACTCCTCAGTTCTCAAAGCCAAATCCGAAAGGCTTTCCATAAGAAGTTTAAATCTTTTCCCACAGGGCAGAGCAGAAAGAAAACTGAAGGAGGGAGGCAATGGGACGGTGGTTCCTTTATAGCATACTCTTACCAATGGGAGAAGGTGACAATGACAGTAGCAACACTGGCCTGAGACCCATTCTCGGCACTGCCAGAGAAGGTACAAGACGTTGCAGGTCTTGCCTTGGAGACACTCCCAGGGATACCAGACACGTTCCGGATAGCACGCACTTCTCTCACATCCACCAGAGGGCACTCTAAAATCTCACAGGACATTTCTGTGGGGACTATTTGAAACAGTTCCTTAACTTCCCCAAGCTTCAACATCCTCATCAGAATGGAGAGTTATAAGAGCTAAATGGGACATTAAACATAAAGCTCCTGGCTCACGGTATGGCCCAATAAATGTTGGTCTCTCCTTTATCATTCACTCAAACCAACAGCACCAGCATACAAATAAGTTGGTCTGGGAAGAGTCGGCAGGCTCCTCCCATCTGCAGTTCTGAGCTCACAGTTTGTCTCCCGTGAGTCAGAACCTGCTAGTTCTAGAAAAAAAGGGATTCTCAGTCTCCACCCTCCCCAAACTGATGAACTCATGCTGGCTGTTGGTGCTACATGTCAGAATGTATCAAACCTCACAAGTAGAGAAGTTGCTTTGCAATGTGTGGCTGGAAGGGTGGCTGGGGATTTCAACTATCAAATGCACCTGCCCACACCTACCAGTTCACTGTCTCAGGCTTGTCTATATAGGTAGTAGCATGTCATAACAGAGGGAACACAGGCCTAGAAGTCGAGAACTCTGGATTCTGTGCCTCCCTTCTTCATCTGTCCATGGCCTTGAACAAGTCACTTCATGTCCCCCGTTTTCCTACTTATAAAATGAATCATTGAATTAATTGTTAATCTGTAGATACTTCCAGTTTGGTGGTTTCTTGGTGATATTCCCTTCCATCAGGGCAAGGCATATTCCAGGAGTGATGGACTACATACACCATTTGCAAACTTTATGTTGCTTTAAAAAAAAAAAAAAACCCTAAACTGATTATACTGTTTTCAGTTGCCTCAGGAGACTAAGCAGCTAAATATCTGTTTTCCTATTGGCTCATTGAAGTTTTTGTCCCATGGACCCTGTTGGACCAGTTAGGGTTGTTTTTCAATTTGGTTAAGGAGACCAATTACCTAAGAAAGGATAATCCTTATTCCAGAAATTGAGTTCTACATTTTATATCAGCCTAGCTCATAGGATACCATGTTTACTTCTCCAACTACTTCCATCCCATTCCCACCTTTTCACTGATATTTTCAACTCTAAAGTACGAGATGCAAAGGGGAAAATGTAAGAGTCTCGTTCCATGCCCTCTTGAAATCTGCATGATCCTTCAGAGCCACACCCCTGTTTACTAGCTTGCTGTGATCAGCTAGATTTTCACAGCAGTCACTACGCACAGTCACTGGATCCAAGATAACATTTCACCCCTTCCTTCAGCACTTTACTATTGTATTAAATGAGATTTCTGGGAGGTCTATGAAGGACAGTGAGAGCGAGGTGATAAAGACTGCTTTGCAATGTTGGAGTGGGACTGAAGCCTCTTGGGTCCTTGGCCAGAAAGAAGACTTTTGTGAGCTCAGTTAACTCTTGGGAAGTGCTTTAGAGCTGGAAAAATTGGGGGGCGGGTGGAGTAACAGTCCTATCTCTGGACTTGCAGAAGAGACAGATAGGGAAGGATGGAGTGAGAGATAGCTGAGGGGATGGCCTTCCTTCACCAGAATCTGCTTTAATGTGTTGTTTTTCTCCTCTGACAAAGGGCATATTTAATAATAATAGTTTAGAACATCCTACTCTAAAAAGCACTTGCTTATTCTAATCCATACAACAGGCCTATGAGATCAGCTGTGACAGATGTTTGAAAAGCTGACTTTAGACAAGGACAGAACGCCCACACAAAGGCCCACGGCAATGTGGCATCCTCCTGGGGCACTGACCATAGTTTAAGATCTAGTTTTGGGCCTTTTGGATCCAGAAGAGTCACTGGAATGGACCTGCATTAACCAAGCTTCCAGAAATGGAAATATAAAAAACTAGATGCTCTTGGATTAATTTCAGCAAAAAATGCAGCTGTAGGGCCAACCAGAAAGCTTGAGTCAGCAGATCGGAACCTTCTCTCCCAGTATGCTAATTGTTTCAGAAGCCAAATTATAATCAGAAGGCCAATTTATTCACTTAAAGTGAAAAATACAAATTATAAGTGAACCAGATGTTCACGTTAGCCCAGCCTTTCCTGAAAGATAAATGACATAGGAAACCAAATTACTAGAAGAGTTCTCGGTGAGCAAGGGCATTTGCTGACTACAGGGTGTCTTTCAGCAAAGGCAGCTGGAGGCCCCCACTCATGGAAGGGACAGCCTTGCCAAGAAAACTGTAGCTCTTAAGTCTGGTGAGCAAGCCTTCCTCTCCTTGCATTAGGCATGGATGGGCACTACCAGTGCTAGACTTGGCAACTCTTCGTATTCTATGCTTCTGTTTCCCATGGTCCTTGTCAAAACAGGGTTATAATACAAATAATTAGTTCTCTGCTTACTTTCTGGGATTGCTCCCAAATGATCTCAATTGAAATTTTTGCATTTCCAAAAGCTGTTAGTCACACGTTTATGAACAGTGTCTCAGTTTCCCAGTACAGATGGCTAATTCAATTCAGTAAGTGAAGATTTTACTAGTTTAGCTCTTGAAAATCTTCTGTTTAATGTCTTGAGCAGCAGTGCACTTTCTATAGGAAAGGTTATTTGTGCGCGTGTGATCTACAAGTTTAGAAATAGAGGCTCGGGGGTTGAGTGCCTTGCCCTTGGACTGTGTTATCAGTAGAGCTGGAACTCAAACCCAGATCTTCTGAGTTCAGATTCTACACTGGTTCCATTGGAGGTGACCAAGCTGTCTACTATTAGTAAGTTTAATTTTAAAGCAAAAAAAGGAAAATCAATGTGTTCTTAAGAATTATCTTTAAAAAACATTAACTGATTTTTTTATTTCCTAAATGGCAGGGAGGGAAAGGTGGGTGTTGCATAAACGTGTGTAGCAGGGCACTTGAGATGATATGAATAAAAAGGTCACTCAGTGTAGCTGCCTGCTACATCTGGACCCATGAGGTCCAGGCACAGAGTATCAGTGATCTTGTCTGGGAGTAGACAGTGAATAAATGTGTCTTGTTACAGAATCTGAGCATCTCAGAGGCAAGAGGAAAAATTCACCACTATGAGGTGACCTTGCAGGAGCTGACAGGAGGGAAAGCCGTAACACAGAACATCACAGGACACACCTCCTGGTCCACAGTCATTCCTAGAACCGGAAGTTGGACTGTGGCTGTGTCTGCAGCAAATTCAAAAGGCAGTTCTCTGCCCACTCGTATTAACATAACAAACCTATGTGGGGCAGGTAAGTTCTAATTCTTCCTTGACATTGTCTGTGGGAAACTGTGCCTTACTCCTCTCTTAAGTTCTACAGGCCCAGCCCAGGGCCAAAAATGAGTAGCTAGGAGTTCAGGCTTTGGAGTCAAAAGCTTTCAGAGGCTTTTTTTTTTTCCCCAGTCAGCCTATGAGTAGCCTTGGACAAGTGAATGAACACCTCTGAGCTTCAGTGACTCCTCTCTAAAATAGAAATTATATTACCTGTCTCGTAGATTCATTTTGAAACTAAATATTAATCCATAGCAGGTATTTAATACATTGTAGTTAAGGAAATACTAGTTACATTAAATGGAACACCAATACCTGACCAGCTTTTATAGAAGCAGGAGTAATACATGTTAAGTTTTAGAAAACATTTTACACCTACAGTCAAAACATTTTAAAACCAAAGCTGGGCATGGTGGTGTGTACCTATAGTCCCAGCTACTCAGGAGCATGAGTGGGGAGGGTTGCTTAAGCCCAGGAGTTCCATGCCAGTCTGGGCCTCACAGTGAGACCCTCCCCACTTCATGAAAAACAAATAAATAAATATAACCAATAATATTGAAATTCTGACTCTAAACTCTAGTAAAATTTTGTTTAACCATCGCCCTTTATTGCGCAAGTTTAGACATGTATCCAATTACCTTTATCAAAAAATTCCCAACGAGATATAGTCTCACATTTTATAGTCATATTCTCTGAAAATTAACTTCTCAGGATAAAAGCTCATGATTAGACAAGAAAATTGATATTAATCCTATTTATCAAGATCTGTATTATGAAAGAATTCCATATCAAGTTCATTGGCCTAAATTCAAAAAATGCCTAATAGACTAAAACTCTGTAATTAGATCCTTCCATAAAATTCAGTATAATGATTTATCTACCAGTGGGTTTAGTAATCTTCATTTTGAAAAAGTCTCTACCAAAATACTATTACTTAATATACACTGTTAAATCTTAGTTATATATCTTTTCAGTCATATATCTGTACACATAGAGATAAAGTAGTAGATAAAATACTTAGAAGAAAATACAGGTAAATATTAATGTGTGTGTGTGTGTGTATATATATATATATATACACACATATATATATACACAAGTAAACAGTATACATATTATATACATATAACCTTGGGTTGATGTATGAGTTAGGAATTTCTCTTGGAATTAGGGTTGTTCTTACCAAAGGCCTGACTATAGGAGCTTATTTATTTTCTCAAAAAAAGAGAAGTCCAGAGGTAGACAGCATAGGGCTGGTGTGACAGTGCCATGACGCCATCGGGACTCTAGGCTCCTTTCTGTTCCCTCTGCCAAGTCTGGCTTTCATCCTCATGATGGAAATGGTCCAAGATGGCTGCCAAGGCTCTAGCTATTTCCTTCTAGACAGCAGAAAAGGAAAAGAAGGGCTCAGCCCTTACTCTTAAGGAGCTTCATCCCAGGTCTCACAACAACACTTGCATTCATCAGCCTACTGGTAACCTGATCACGCCCAGCTGCAAAAGAGGCTCAAAAATATACTAAGGCAGCAATGCTCCCTTGCTAAAAGTGAGGAGGAGAAGGTGTTTGTAGGCAACTGGTAATCTCTGTCTCATGTATGGAAGACACCTAAAGCAGGAACCTTGAAGGAAAAAAAAGTACTAGCTAAAGAGAAAAACACTTCAACTTCATGCATAGTAAAATAGATTTTTTAAAAGACATCATAAATAAAGCTTTAAAATACAAATGTATTTTAAATGTAAAAATACAAATAGCAATGTAAAATACAAATAGCAATGTAAAAAAAAATCACATTTTTAGCAGAGGGAGGGTTGATTTCTATATATCTATATATTTATGTATATTTCTATTTATATAACTTTTTCAAATATATGAGACTAGGGAATATGAACAGGCAACTCAAAAAAAAGTATAAAAGGAGCAATAAAGATATGAAAATGTTTACCAGCAATCAATGAGATACAAATTTTGAGAAAACCTGAGAAACCAAATCAGAGAGAAACAGTAGGTAGAATGAGCGTACCCTATGTTGGTGAGGGTGTGGGAAAATGGTACTCTGTACATTGCTAGTGAGTGTGTAAACTGGTACAACTTACTGGAGAGCTACTTGGCAATATGTAACAAACTTTAAATGTAAACTAATATCCTTCACTTTTTTTTGGGGTGGGGTGATGGAGTCTCGCTCTGTCACCCAGGCTGGAGTGCAGTGGCACGATCTCGACTAACTGCAACCTCCTGCCTCCCGGGTTCAAGCAATTCCCCTGTCTCAGCCTCCCGAGTAGGTGGGATTACAAGGGTGCCTGCCACCATGCCAGGCTAATTTTTATATTTTTTATAGAGACGGGGTTTCACTATATTGATCAGGCTGTTCTCGAACTCCTGACCTGATCTGCCGGCCTTAGCCTCCCAAAGTTCTGGGATTACAGGCATGAGCCACCACACCTGGCCAACTTCTATCTTTTGACTAGGAAATTTTAGCCTTAGAAATGTATACTCAGCATAGCATAGGATAAGTGCTTAAAAATATAAGTACAAAGATATCTGTTGAAAATTTGTTTGAAATCGAGAAACATCATAAACAACCTAAGTGTATAATAGTAAAGAATGGACTGATTAAACTCATCATGACCCTCACCTGCCTTAATTTTATACCAACAATAAAGGGATGTTGTAGCTATGTTTTTATTCACATGGACAAATATACATTACAAGTGAAAAGGTAAGATTTTAAAAGTGTATATGAGATGATGCCATTTTAAATATATATTTACACCCAGTGCAGTGGCTCACAGCTCTAATCCCAGCACTTTGGGAGGCCAAGTTGAGAGGATTGCTTGAGCCTAGAATTTTCAGACCAGCCTGGCCAACATATGGAAAAAGATACAAAAAAATAAAAAGATTAGGGCCAGGCGCAGTGGCTTATGCCTGTAATCCCAGCACTTTGGGAGGCTGAGGCAGGCAGATCACCTGAGGTTGGGAGTTTGAGACCAGCCTAACCAACATGGGAGAAACCGCATCTCTAACTAAAAATACAGTATTAGCCAGGCGTAGTGACACATGCCTGTAATTCCAGCTACTCTGAAGGCTGAGACAGGAGAATCACTTGAACCCAGGAGGCGGAGGTTGTGGTGAGCTGAGATTGTGTCACTGCACTTCAGCCTGGGCAACAAAAGGGAAATTCCATCTCAAAAAATAAAAAAAAAAAAAAAAAGAAGAAGAAAAAGATTAGTCAAGTGTGGTGGCTCACACCTGTGGTCCCAGCTACTTGGGATGATGAAGTGGAGGGATTTCTTGAGGCCGGGAGGTTGAGATTGCAGTGAGCTATGATCGTGCCCGGCACTCCAGCCTAGGTGACAAAGTGAGACTCTATCTAAAAATAAATAAATGCATAAACATTTACATGAGCACATATTTTTTGAAGGGTTAAAAAGAAAGTCTAGTTGAATATAGATGGAAATGTTAACAGAAATCATCTCTACATCTGGAATTACAAGTTATTTTTCTTCCCTTTTGCGTTTTATATTTAAAAATTTGTTCTTCAGTGGCTAAGTACTGCATATGTAATTTTTAAAGTGAATTCTGTGGTTCTATTCTGCTGTTTTTAAAATGCAATATATCAAAATGACTTGTTTCTTCAAACGTCACTGTAGATGGGTCTTGAGGTTTTAAACCTCATGCATGCTCTGGTCCCATTCCAGGTTCCTTAGTTAGATTTGGTAACAGCTTCTCAAATGCCACAATCATCATGCTAGAGTTCACTTCTACTTTGTTATGTTTGAGCATCTACTATAGACAATTGGAATCCGCCCGTAGGTTAAAGATACAGTTGAGGTCCTCAGCTTATATTTAGTAAAGAGGGAGGGTCAGACATATAAACAAGTGCAGTACAGTAGAATAAGCGTGAGGTTAGAGGTATGCATGGGGGCTCTAAGAATAGAGAAGAGCCAAAACATGCACTTGGAGAGGAGGCCAGGAGGGGTGGCGGCATGCTTACCAAGTATGGAGAGAGAAAGTGGTGCTAGCCAGGTGAAGGAGAGCAGGTGTGCAGGCGCGAGGATTTGTTTTAAAGTGAGAGTTGAGCAGGCACAAGACTTGAAAAGAAGAACTAGGGATGAGGAAGAAGTTGAAGACAAAGGAGATGGGGAGATAAATAAAGTCCCTGGGGAGATGGGAGATGATGAGGAGCCAGTGACCCAGAGCAGCAAGAGGAAGGCTTCATCCTCTGAGAGTGGACAGAGGACCATTGGTCATGGAATGATAAGAATGGGGTTGATGCACAGATCGTGTACTTCAGAGCAAGACATTATCTCAAAAAAAAAAAAAAAGGCCGGGGCCGAGCATGGTGGCTCATGCCTGTAATCCCAGCACTTTGAAAGGCTGAGCGGGCAGGTCACTTGAGGCCATGAGTTCAAAACCAGCCTGGCCAGCACAGTGAAACCCCATCTCTAGCAAAAAATACAAAAATTAGGGAAGCATGGTGGCGTGTGCCTGTAGTCTCAGCTACACAAGAGGCTGAGGCAGGAGAATCTCTTGAACCTGGGAGGCGAAGGTTGCAGTGAGCCAAGATCATACGGCATTCCAGCCTGGGCAACGGAGTGAGAGACCCTGTCTCAAAAAAAAAAGAAAGAAAAAGAAAAAAAAAGAAATGTATGCTAGACCTACCAATCAACAAGTAAAATGTATTAAATATTTCAAAGACCCAGCTCTTTTACTCAAGAGCTCTTGAAACTACAGGAAGAGTCAGAAGCCAATACAGTCATAAACACAGGCTCACAGAGATGGCAGAGACTGGGGCCCTAGTAGGTGAAGTAACTGAGCCAAGATCATACATCCAATAGTAGCAGAGCTACATGGAAAACCAGACCAGCCTTGGGTGAGGACTTTTTCCAAATTCCTTATGAACTTTATAACTTCATACAGAAGCTCTCAGTGAAAATGGAGATGGGAAATGGAATGATTGAGGCTGAAGGAATAATTTTGAAA